GTTCTCGGGCCGGCTATTCGGAGGGGATGGCTCGGAGAGGAGAGGAACTGTCGGCTCCTTTGAAGTCGGTCCGTACCGTGTGTAATTAGGCCGCCGCTCCCCACCCCGCCCTCGGCCTCTGATCTCGCCGCGCTGTGTCGCTAATTGCTCACCGCCTCACGGCAGAAGCATCGTCGCCGTCCTCGTCGTCGTGGTTGTCGCCGTCGCCCGCCGTCGCCCGCCGTCGTCTTCGTCAACCTCGTTCGCGTCTAGGTCCGGACGCTCATCAAGCTCGCCGCCCGTCACCGTCGTTACTTTGGATCTTCTTGAGCAAGGCGAACTAGACAAGTCTCTTTTCTAAAAGGACGACGTCCAGTCGTTAATGCTGAATTATTCCGCCGGAGGAGCACGGATTTCATCTTGATTTCCTTTTTATCTCATTTTCTTGGAGAAGTTTCGAACGAAGATCCAATCTTGGACACATGTATCTGCGTTTTTTTTTTTTTTTTCCTTCGATAAAACGCAATTCATTTTCCGCGATAAGATTGTAGAATTCTTAATTTATTAGCTGAGTCGAGTATTCTTATTTAATATCTTTTTTCTCCGGTGACACTTTTACATAATTATACATCTCAATTCTCAAGCAGCTTGCAATAGACTTAAAATATTATCATTCAATTGCAATATAACATTTGCTCACGCGGCTAAATAGTCGTCGATATAAATTTTTGGATTATCGAGACGTAGGATTATCTGCTAGCGGACGATGAATTTTGGATCCTTCGTTTAAAAATCGCAACAGTTTCAGCCGCTGCGCGTATAAATGTTTCTTTACAAGCTTCCAGTCAAGGCAAACGTAGAACGAGTAGTTTGTCCGCGATGCAAATATACTTTTGCCTTCGTGGTCTTCAAGATTAAATTGCCTGCTGCTCTGTAATCCAAGTCGCAATTATCCTCATCCGTGTCCACATCGCCATCGTTATTCATCTCCTCTAATGTAGATGTTCTTAAGTAGACGCGCGTATAGTCGCCTTCTTGAGTACACATTTCCGTCTACTCTCAGTAATTGCTGCCGTTGCTAATTGCCGCGCTATGTTATGACAGCGATTCGCCAGTTCATCTCAGATCTCGTTTCATGTGAAATCTTTTTGGAGTAAAATATCATTAATAACGGTTTATACGTGGAATTTCGTCCATGTGCCAACGTAGCCGAGCTGCGTGAAGTCAAAATATTCCGCATTTCCCATGTCGCTTGTAACAGCTTTGTTGTTCGTAGGGAGTGCTATATATCTTGGTCTGCTTATATAAACTACTGCCCACCTAGTTTAACGAAGTCGTGTTTACTATGTAATTGTTATTCCCATGGTGTTGCTGTTGTTTGTATATTCAGCGTGTCACACATTCGTATAGAATTAGAACATCTGACGCGCTAATTTGCCATTGTCGCAGATACGTTACCATTGTAAACTTTTAACAATTATTAGCGCAGCTTGGTCTCGTAAATCATCCTCGTAACTTGGACGCGCAATCATTGCTGTTATTATTCAATTGTCATTGTGAATCATCTTTTAAAATAATCGCATATTTTATTCTCTTAAGCGAATGATCTATTTTTATTCCATGGCTATTCATGACAAATATTGTTATAATCTCGCACCTTTTATTTAAAAAAAAATTTTTTCCAAATTACTTTTGTCAACCCCTGAAATGATCTATAGCGATCACTCGTTGAAAATACGAATCGAGATAAGGTGCGGCATGACCATCCTGCTGATGTAATTAATCAACGTCTCGTAACACTACGAAAAGCAGTTATCAATTCCGCCGCGGCGGGCGACGAGTCTCATGTTGGTCGTTTCGCGTCCGGATTCTCTTAAGTACTACAAACTGAATATCCTCCTCGGCTCGAGGTAACAACGCCCGTCTACTACTAATTGCTGCTTTCTGCTGGCACAATGCTCCACTATCCGTCCAACCGGGTCTCCGCCGTTTCCGCGCAGAAAGGCACGTAATAGAACGGACTCGTACCAACATTACTCTCTAACGGAGCATTGTTTCTTGCCAGCTCGACGGCGTCTTCGCCTCCAAGAAACGCGCTCCTATTCTTATCGCTCTCCTCCCGAAAGTCTCGGCGAGCGTTGTAAAAGTTTCGCGGTAAATCGCAATTTCAACGGTCTACCGTTTCTTCGACAATGAGATTCTATCGTCAGCATGCTAAAATCTTTTCCGCGCGAGAAGCGTTTAGGTAAATGATAGCCGAGCGACGTGCAATTTTCTCGCAATCGTCCGCTTATTATTATGATTATTGATACTGCTTTCATCGCAAAATCTGCAATGACCATTTCTTCCTTCGTTTGTAAACGGGCTATTAAGGACGGGCCATCAGCACCATCGCCGCTTTCTTTTCTTCTTCTCTGCTTTCGCATTCATGCTGTCGAAATGTGCATTATCATGAATATGTCCTAAGAATATTTTTTTTATTATGATTCGCGTTTTGAGTAAAAATACGATGGCTTACATAATGAAACACTTTTAATT